ATATACAAAAAGACGATTGATCACTATGAGAGCAATTAGTTTTAATGCCACAGTATAGAACCCTGTCCATAATTTTTGCTTTCTAACAGTAAAATATCTGAAATACCTGAATACAGGGGGCGAACCTTTTATTTTAATGCGTTTTAAGGTCCGACTTGCCTCTTTCTCTTATTTTTATGCTACGAAAATAAACCTTGTACAAAATTTTCGCTTTGTAATAGTAAGATATCCGAAATACAGAGGGCGGACCTTTTATTTTACTGCGTTTTAAGGTCCGACTTGCCTCTTTCTCTTATTTTTATGCTACGAAAATAAACCCTGTACAAAATTTTTGCTTTGTAATAGTAAGATGTTTGAAATACAGAGGGCGGACCTTTTATTATACTGCGTTTTAAGGTTCGCCCTGCCTCTTTCTCTTATTTTTATGCTACGAAAATAAACTCTGTACAAAATTTTTGCTTTGTAATAGTAAGATATTTGAAATACAGAGGGCGGACCTTTTATTATACTGCGTTTTAAGGTCCACCTTGCCTCTTTCTCTTATTTTTATGCTACGAAAATAAACCCTGTCCACAATTTTCGCTTTGTAACAGTAAGATACCTGAAATACAAAGGGAGGACCTCTCTTTATGCCGCCTTTTTGAGGTCCGCCCTGCCACTTTCTACAGCTTTTATTCTACTGTCGTAAATAAACCATGTCTGAAATTTTTGCTTTGTAAAATGTAGCTAGTTGAAATACAGAGGACGAAACTTTTATATCAGATGGTTTAAGGTCCGCTTGTCACTTTCTATTATTTGTATGCTACGAGAATAAACCCAGTTTGACATTTGTAAGATATCTGAAATACATAGGGCGGACATTTTATTATTGCTGTGTTTTAAGGTCCGCCCTGCCATTATGACTAGCTATTTTAAGGAATCAAACCCTGTCCAAAACTATCGCTTTGTAATAGTAAGATATCTGAAATAAAAAGGGTGAACCTTTTATTATACTGCGTCAAAGGTCCGCCCTGCCCCTTTCTCTAGTTTTTATGCTACAGAAAAGAACCCTGTCCAAAATTTTCACTTTTCTTATTATTTATATTGCCAGAAAAATATTTGGCGGTCGCCATATAATTTTCAGGTGGCCGCCAGATAAGTTATCTGGCGGCCGCCAGAAAAATATTTTTCTAACCTGGCACCTACCGGCTTCCGTATGTTTCGAATATTACCTAATAAAATTTTGAATAATGATTATATGAGTATTTTCGGTATTGGCTGGAGAAATTTCCGGTAATACAATGCATCTCAGGCGAGGAAGAGGGGGAGGGGGCTAAATCAGTTTTTTAAGTGAAAAAACCTATGAATTAAACTTTTTTCCTCCGGATAACCGTGACTTGCCAATGTCCATAAATGATTAAAATAAATTATCAGCGCTTATTGAGAGATAAATATTTTTCAATTGATCTGAAGTTAGACTGAAACGTTATAAGAAAGAATTAAATCCAAACCATTATGGTCTCCGACGATGTATTACATGGAAAACTCTTTACATAACGCGAAATCGAATTTTATTTAAAAATACAGTAACTGTTGTTTTGTTGTGACAATGCGTGAGGAGTAATTACTTTTAAACATAAAAAATTACGTCATACCTGAAGGAGGGGTGCACAAAATGTATGCTTAAAAGAGAAAGTAGCAGAACCCCCCCCCCCCCATGATTGGTCTCTAAATTTTATGTTTGATCATGAACACCTTCATCCTCTGCGGAAATCTTCATCCTGATAAATTGTATATATTTATTCATTAAAAAATATGGACCCTAACCACACTGCAAATTCCGAATTCACTTTTTATGGTAATGCACTATTATCTGCGTAGCGGAAATAAATACGTGCAATCAATTCTTATTTCTGTCCTAACTTAAGCAAAATTGTTATCTATAATCAAACAGGAATAAACACACTGGTATTCTTTTTTTTTTTCAAAAAAATAATCCTTCTTTTCCTTAGAATAGGTACTTATTTATCATGGAGAATATAATGACTGGCTAACGGTCGAAAACTTTCCTTCATTTGCAAGTCATGTAGCATGATAAAAGTTTGTGGATTCTGGGATTGCTTTAATAAGGAAACAGTAAGGACGGAGTAAAGATGATTGCTCTGTGAGCTTGCTTTCCACTGCAAGGAAGAGCGCTTTGTCTAAGAAAGTTGCATTTTCAGCAGATACGTGAAGGAAGGGAGTGGGGGGGGGTCCTTTCGTTAATGAGAAAACGGAGTTCAGTGCAGAAATGATCACTGGATTAAAATTATATCACAGCGATAGGTATTATTTGCGTTAATAATGCAGTGTTTCTTCAGCAAATCTTGTGTATCTGCTTCCTGTGATAAGTGTAGTGGCGGCTGGAGAGAATGATTTCTTTATTAAGTTCTTCGGGTCATTTGTGCGAAGAAAGGTGCAATCGAAACTGCTCTTCCAAAATGTTCCAAAAAGGAATACATTCCGGATTTTAGACGAACGGCTTGATTTAATTTATATGTGGTTTATCATATTGATTAACCCATCTCTCTCTCTCTCTCTGGAAAAAGGTGGGGATCATTTATTGTAAATATTTTAGTTTTCTCTGAAATTGTTCAACAACCGATCATAAAATCGTAGAATAAAACTTTTGAAAAAAAATAAACAATTAAATCTGAACTGTGTAACTTTTTTTTAAAGGGGATAAAAGCCTCTAGTGTCAGATGAATCTTGAGTTTTCCGCCGAGATTTTATAACTATACATCATAAAAAAGCACAATAAAATGTAACTAACAAGAAAAATAAATTTAGAAATAGGCTTAAAAATGATTAAAAAAAAATAATAATAAATTTTAAGAAAGACGCAAAACAAAATTACATGTATATCTCTCGTCTGGGCTGTCATTTTTTTTTTTTTTGGGGGGGGGGTAGTTTTAATATATAAACCTGGATTTTCTTCTGAAATGCTAAAATCATCGATAATAAAAATATCAAGGTAATTAAAAAAACTACATTTGTAATGCCATCTGTAGTCCAAGGAGATTTTTGAATGCAGTTTTTACACCACAAGAATGGAAATGTTAAAACAAAATAAACGGCACTGCTAAAAGCAACTAAATAAGGAGTAGAATTCCTGCTCTAGAGATATATTGTACAAACTATTTTTATGTGTTTAAATCAAGATTAAAACCTTTTGCACTACCAGGACCTTTAAACGTAGGCAGACCTTTTCTTATACAGGCCGGACCTTTTCTTATAATAGGCGGATCTTATATGTTATCGTATTACATGTAGCGCCCCCCCCCCCGACCTTTAAACGAGGCGGACCAAATATTATGCGACATCGGTCGGCAGGAGGTGCTTACTCCTCCATGGCACTGTGAACTCGAGTGTTTTTAACGTCCGTGTTTACCCTGCTCACGATTTGTACGGTTTCAACATAGGCACTCCCCAGCTTAATTGTTAAAAAAATATATCTACTATACTATAAACATAACATGTTTATACATGTAGTATAGTAGACATATATTTTTTAACAATAAAGCTGGGGAGTGCCTATGGGTTTCAATGGACTTTTGAGGCTTATTACTGTTCGTTATCTCCATATTTAATGTAAAATATAAAACATTCAAGTACCTATGAAGACAAGAATCCTAATCAGTGATGAGAACGGTGGTAATTAATGAATAAAAGACACAAAAGGGAGTATTTTGCATTCTTTTTTGAAAATGTCCCCGATTAGATACAATGAATCAAGTACTGGTGTGTGAATATTAATGAGTGTTAAATAGGTCCCCGTTTGTGCTTTAAAAAGTGCTTGGCTTAAAATTATAGATATCGACACATTCTCATTATATTCGCCATCAGAGTTATAGGAGGACTAATATTTTTGGTCAAAAGTCAATGAAATAATAAAAAAAAAAAGATGTCCCCACTTTGACAGTCTTTAACCCCTGTCCCCGTTTGACACCTTTCACATGTATGTGTGTGTGTGTGTGTGTGTGTGTATAAATCCAGACTGCCGCTAACACTTTTTAATAACTTTTACAGAATATATTGATTATATGTTGACTAGTGATTTACAAAGAATTATCAAACATAAATTAGTAATAGTGTTGTTTACAGTTACTCTCTTTTTGTATTAAGAACACGTCAAGCGAAGAATTTGGAGAAACTGAATGAAAAACTGATTTTTGCTCCTAGTTAAAAAGAACTTTCTTTATTGGAAAATTGACTGGTTTGACTTTTTTTCTGATGATGACCGCAATATCTTTATGAATATATTTAATTGTTATCTATCTCATTTCCATAGAGATTTGTTTTCACAAAAGAATAATTTATCTTTACTAAACTTGCATAATCTGAGCATAATTTCAAGAATTGGAGCAAAAGCAATCCCAAATTTTATTTTAAGGATCAAATGATATAACTAGTGAAAACAAGTAAACCCTTTTTAAACTATGTTTTCCTCAGGATGAGAAACAACGCTCCTAAGTTAAAATCTGAATAGAAGAGCAAAGAGTACCAGTAGATACCAGGAAATATTTATAAGGGTGGTACTTGAGTTAAGAGGTCAGTGAAGTTGTACGTAGAATGTATCTATTTACGGCATTAGTTTACATAAGTGACAATTATCAATTCTTCTGAATAATGATTCTTTCACTTCGGCAAGATCATAAGAACTCACTGTTCGCCATGAATGATGTGACATTTGGAAGCAATGAATTTTTAAAGGCTAAAACGGAGTGAATTCACAAATGTAGAAGTAAACACACATCTCTCCTTGTCGATGTTGTCCATTAAAACATCACCACATATAACCATTTCAAATACACACTCATCAAATATCTATCAAACCGGTCTATTCTTGTGGGAAAAACACACCTTTTTCAGCACAGTATCATATTAACTATTTTATTCACTTTTCTGATAGACATCTTGTCCTGTCTGTATGTTCTTCTTTTGACATCAAAATGAAAGTTTCCAACAAGAGAAACTCTTACCAATGTAATCATTCCAGACTTCATTGAGCTCGGAGTGATAGGCCAGGCATCCCTTCATTGTATTCAGACAGTAGTTGTTGCAGGGTTTAGTCTGGGTCAGTCCTCGACAATGTGGACAATACATCATCTTCATCAGAGCCCTGTTACAGGCTTTCGTTGGGGGAATCTATAACAGCCATGAAACCAAATAAAACTTTTTGTTTGATTGAAAAGTCCTTGCAAACAAAGATGGAAAGCGGGTTCCGGTAAATGTTCTACAAAGCCTCTTTCTTTACTCCTCACTAAAATATTTACTGTAATAAAGGAGAAACTTCAGGAGTACTGTACAACAGTATATTCCAGAAGTGGTGTAAATAAGATGTGGATACTTAAAAATCACAAAATTTCAACAAAAACAATAATATCAAAACGTACGAGTTTTCAAGACTTTTTACAACCATCCCCCACGATAACTTAAAGTCCAGGCTTTTTTACATCATAGTCAACTGCATTTTCAAAACAAAATGGAACTCGTAAAACACTTGGCCATTTGCAAAATTATTCTGTTTAAAACATTGTGATTATACACATGAGAACTCCGAAGTTGATATTAAAAAGATGCTTGAGTTTCTGATAGACAATATATATGTAGTTTTTGGTGATCAGGTTGTCTAGCAATCTGTTGGAATTCCCATGAGCATCAATTGCGCCCGGTTATTAGCTGACCTAGCAGTGGGAGTGGAGGTGGGGATAGGGTAATATTTTGAGTTCCGAGGTGATATACATTCCTAAAATATTGAATTAAAATATTTAATCTACCTGGATCCTTCAGTCGCATTGATTTTCATTAAAGTTAAATGAGATGCACGTTTTCTATCGCTTTTGGTTATAAAACTTTTTTCTCTTTGTTTATAGTTGGCCAACTTAGAAATTGGAGACAAGGAGTGTAATAACTTGATCTACCTGACCTCTAAGTTGACAAGATTAAGTATTTTGAAGCCAGATCTTTGTATACCTGTACAGCAAAAGATGGCAGTTAAGATCGCAGTCAGTGAAATGTTACTGACCCCCCCCCCCCCACCTTCTGAAGGTCAATCCCGTTATCCTGGCTTTTCTTCACCGGAGATTTACTTATGCTGTTTAGTTGATGATTGCCTCCAGCAATCAACCTGGCCATACAGGGCCGAGGACAAGTGTGTGTGATGTGCAGAAACTTTAATTTCACAATACGATTATACCCATACAAATCTCACTACCCCAGACAATGTAACCTGAGATTTTGAAAAGGGCACACTAAAAACAAAATACAATGACAATGACATGGAAGCACGTGCTGAGAAAGCAAGCCCCCTCTGGAACTCAGACAAGCCCCAACTGGAACTCAGACAACATACCTGAAAAAAAAACCTGGGGTAAACAGAAAAAGCCGTTCTGAAGTCAAAGCCAAATAAAATGAAAACAATGACTATTAAACGATAGGCAAACAAGCTAATTCAGAGAATTTGTGTTCCCCGCTTAAGGAAAAAGGAAGAGGGCGGAAGAAGTGGGGAAAATGCAGATAAAAAAGAAAAAAAAATGTCAACCTTGAAGTTGCAGCTTTTCGTCTTAAAGTCAATATGAATCTATTAAAAGTGGAAGAAATTCATGACCCAAAGATTCAATGCAAAAGTCAAAAGATATCTTCTTTAGGAGATAATGAGTTGTGATGTGAAATTTTATCGAAAAAGCTCGAAGACTTTTAAAGATATTGCCCGGAAACGAAAGAGAATGCATGGATTTATGACCCTGACCTTTGATCCTTTGACCTCTAAATCAATGGGAGTCTTTTATAGGGCATAGGAATTGTGATATAAAATTTTATTGCAAAAACTCAAACAATTTTAAATATATTACTCGGAAATAAAAGTGTAACACACAGCGAGAATGAATGAGTCTATGTCCTTGACCTTTGATCTTTTGACCTCAAAATCAATAGGAGTCTTTTTTAGAGCATAGGAACTGTTATACAAAATTTTATTGCAAAAGTATAAACACTTTTAAAGATACTGCCCGGAAATTAAAGTGTAACACACAGAGAGAATGCATGAATTTATGACCTTGACTTTTGATCTATTGACCTCAAAATAAGGGTCTTCTCTAGGCCATAGGGAGTTCTGACGTAAAATTCAATTGTAAAAGCTCAAAGGCTTCTTGAGATATCGTCCAGAAACGGAAGTGTAACATACATAAACAGAAAGACGGAGAAAGACGGAAGGACAGATATATCCAATTAACATACATGTAGCACCTCTCAGTGAAAGCGAAAATTCAATCTTTTCTCATGCTCTTGATATGTTCCTTCCATCACCCAAGTGTTAAAAGCCTCTTATATATCAGACGCATCTATCTTGACAAAAGTAGTCAATACCTTGTTGCCTAGCATTTCTCTTTACAAAATCTGGTCAATCTTTGCTGATTAACATGGAAGGGTTGAAAGTGTTTTTCCTTCATTGCTGAAAAGTGTTAGGACTTATAGTACACACATACTATCTCTGACCAGTTTGGACTTGTGTCATCTGGTTTGATCAATTAACGCATTACGCTTAACAACATGCAGGAATGGTATTGCCTGTCTTTGTTATTGATAAAAATAAAATTCCCTTGGAAGTAAAATTGAATTTATGCCATTGAAGCCCTATGATATAAAATCAGATACCCCAATGCTACAGCGGAGGTATTCTGTCTTTGATATCTGTCAATGAATAAAATTAAATGTTTTATACTTTTCTCTCTAATGAAGATCCATCTTCGGTTTACATGGCCGGAGCAGAGTAAAATCTGTTTTTACAGGTAATGGGGATACACAGATGAGACTTTAATGTGTATCAACTTGGGAATTTTTGTTTTTATTCATAATAAAAAAAAAATATCATAACATGCTTTTTTTATCAGAAATGAAAAATTTACTCAAACAAGGCTTGATTTTTTTTTTTTTTTTTTTTTTTTTTTTTTTTTTTTTGAGTGAAATAGATACACAATGCAACTCTTGTCATTCGGCATAGGAATAGATTAATTAAAAATGTATTTATAATACAAACCGCTAAAACTTCCAAACTCACGTCCCGTCCAAAGGCAAGACCCTTAACAAAGGTACGAGCAGCAACAAATGACTTCTTGACCTGCGTGGAAAGTTTCCCTGGAACATCTCCGAATGGCTTCAAGTTTTCAATCTGACTTGTCACACATTTTAAGTAAAGATCAGAAAATTTGCGCGGAGCAGATAACAACTCAAACACTTGGCTAAACAAAGATTTGAAAAAAATGTCAAGAGTACTGGTTAAGCTAATATTTTTCCCTTCACAGTATTCCCGCAAATCATTAAACAAACTTGTGAATAAATGTTTTCCTCGAAGGTATAGTAATCCATATGTCCTCCGAAACATTCGATGAAGTTTTTTTTGTGATTTGTCTATAAGGGATGTGAAGAATTCTGAAAAAGAAAATTTATTGCAAAAATTATTATCAAAAAACATAAAGAAAACCCTGATATATATATATATATATATATATATATATATATATATATATATATATATATATATATATATATATATATATATATATATATATATATATATATATATATATCTCAAAGTAAAAGAATTATGGTGTAGCACTAAAAAGTCGATTTTTGAAAAGTTTAATATTCATTGTGTTGACAGACTAGCTACACTTTTTGGTAAATATGAGAACAAGAATATATGTAAATAACGAAACTTGATAATACTTATTGTAAAACAATTTAGTTTTGCTAGTAAATATAAAAGTGTTCAAAAATAAATATTGATATTCTAATAAAGAGGTATCATAGACCGAATTTTTATAGAAAAGGTTTTGTTGATACAAACCATTAGATATATGGAATACGAAAGGCACTGGCAAAAAAAAAAATGCGATGCACTTTGAAAAAAATTATTTATTTTTATAATGAATTGTAATGGAAATTTCAGTTGTTATTTGATTGTCAATATTTATCTATGCATTTTTCTACCACTGCTGACTTTGCATTTAGTGACTGGGAATCCAAACTGGTCTTCATTATACATACATGGTTTGGTACTTTATCAAGTTAAAAGGTAAATGTGTCACAAGGGGTCATAGGCAAAAGTCATTTTGTACCACCTAATTCATGAGAAAAACTTTTTTTGGAAGGAGGCGATGTTCAAAATTAACCAAGTTATTCTCAAATTGTCACAAGCTAATCAGACATGTTTTGGAATAAAAAATTACCTCTGACAAATTATTGAGTTATATTTACAAGCGACTACATTAAAGAGCATTTCTCTGCACATTGCAAGGATAAAGTTGTTATATCTCACCGGTAGTTACCTTAATCAATTTGTTAACATATCAAACAGTGAGGTAATGAATTTCTTCCTATCCAATGAAAGGGCAATTGGTTTTTGCCTTAAAATGACCATCTGTCACATGGGTACTATAAATACACTGCGTGCTATGGACAGAGCATGAAAACTTTATCATCAAATTATAATTTGAATCTCTGATACTTCCTTTCTCTCTGAATATCTGCAGTGCAACGTTAAAATATGCATTCTTTGCTTCAAATTCCTTTATTTTATCACAAAACTTCTCATTTATTTCATTTTGAATCATGGTATTTTTTGTTTTTTACTTAAAGAGAAAGGAACCTCAATAAATAAGGAACAACTTTTAGCAGTCTGTATAGAAGGCACAATTAAATTTGAATTACCAAATCCTGGCAGTAATTTAGATTTTTGCCAACCACATGCACATCCGATGTGTAATTACCTAATGTAAGAACCTGTCACGGTACATGTAGGCTAGTGCTAGGGTGCTCGCTTCGGGAGGCCCGGGCTCGATTCTCATTTCCTTCCCTGCGTCACACCTACGATGTTAACATAGGAGATGATTGTTCCTTTGCCAAGCGCCCGGAACTAGAAAAGAAAGTCACGGATCTTTCGGATAAGACCTTTAAAACCGGGGTCCCTTGTCACGGTAGACATTTGCACGATGAAGAACCATCACTGCTCAATGGCCCTGACTGCTAAGCATTGGTCTAAATTTAAAGCTCTTCACCAAAATACGGTGATGTATCTACATATATTGATTATAAAAATTCTGAAATGAGACGTTAAACAACATGCAATCAATCAATATGTAATGTTAGTACACAGGAAGCACTGGTGAAACGTTAGGAGGGGATAAATCAGAACTAGACACGTGTATGTGGGATTCCGAGCTTTCATTAGATTCATTATCAAGTCTTACTTTTACACGAATAAAAAAAAATACACAGAAACATTATCATTAAGTGTTTTGTCTGCCGCTACAAACATTCTATTCACTTTTTCCTGAAAAAAAAAAAAATAAATAGAGTTTTGAATTAGGGCAACTCCCGGTGTACTGATCATTTTGTATGTGTTTGTGTTTTTTTTTTTCTTTATCTTACCATCAAATTTTCTAATTCCTGTAGCAAATGTATTTTCGACATGATATCTGAATGCATCTTCAATATTTATAGAATATTCTCTGGTACTAAGATCTTTGAGCTTGGACTCCATTTCTCTCGTACAACAATTGGAAACTTGAGAACACACTTCTAAATGATTCCCTGAAAAATAAGCAAAATAATATTGATTATATTATTTTAATTAATAAATAACAATATACTTTGAATCACTAATTTTCCTCGGTGTCTAATTTTCGTTGTTTTCGTGGTATAAAGAGATCCTCTAAATGTTAAAATTTCGTACTTCGGTATTGTTTAATCAAGAATCCAAATCCCTTGGAACCAGTACTTTTTCCTTAAACCTTTAAAATCTTACCCCTCGAAAATGGGATTTTAGAGTATAAAAGGTGATACAAGAAGCAGTGATTAATCTCATAAATTCACTAAACAGAACAAATGAACAGGGCAAACACACGGATCCCTGGAATTTCCTGAGATTGGATCAAATTCCTAGGAGGAGTAAGCATTCACTTAAGACTTACAAATAAAGCAGCTGTTGACAACACTAGTAACTATTCACTTTTTGATTTTATGTGGTTAATCAATGAATGAAGGAAATGTTGCTATCAGACAGTTTCTAAAATTTACCACACATTTAAAGGAACGAAACTGCCAAATGAAGAACTAATGACTCATTTTCACTAAAACTATACACAACATGTAGCATAATTTTCTTTTTGATTAGTTTATTTTGATTCAGTGACCTGGTTGACCCACTCGTGCACAGAAATCCTCGCACTAACAATATATCTTTCACATCTCTTCAAAACATTATCCAGAAGCATTACTCTTTAGAAACAAGATTCTCCAAACAGAAAAAAAAACAAAAAACAAAACACTGTACTGTTGAGCTTTATGCATGCTACACAGTATAAGCACATACTATGCAACTTACGCATTGAAGTAATACATGCATGCATGCAAGCCGAGAAAACGCGTCGAACGCTTTATACTCATCTGCCTGAAATACAGCTATCGCTACAGGGATGTGCACATGTCGAAAGAATTACTTCCTATTTTCCTTTATTGAAATATGCATCACAGAAGAAATAACTCCATTTGTAACTTAAAGGTAAACAAATTGTTACCAGCACTTGCACACACATGGTCCTGCCGATCAGCATTTTTGGTCAGGGAAAATGTCGAAGGTGGAAATGACACTGGTATTTGCCTGATTAGACAATATAGTGACACAAATAATACGTTTCAGAAATCGAACTAATTGTTGTCGGTACATGTAGTAAATATGTTCATGGATGTGGCTTCATTACATCAAATTTATTATATAAACATACATTCTTGTTACGGATCTTACATCTTTTAAAGAAAATGAAAGGGTGGGGTGGAATATGTAGAATACATTTTTCAATATATTTTAAACAAACGTTGGAAAAAGGTCGGATTTTCCTTGATCAAATATATTTAAATACTTGCAATGAACTGGCCTCAACTATTTTAGGTATAAACTGATATATCTTAAATTTACACACACTGAACAATTTGTTTCTGTAGACATTTTCAAATCAGGACCCTTTCAGGCATCCCAAATTACAAGCATGATTGATACAATTACCAACAAACACAGACATAATTATGTGTATATAAAATAATCTACAGTACATGTATATATTGAAGTTGAGTAAGTATTACAATATTAGTATATGTGAAAGTAATATTGATAATTGAAATAGTTCTACCGTGTACCCAAATGTGAAGTGGTGCGATTCAACAATCCTCGCGCGCATTGCCAAAGATATCATTACATTACATAAGTTTTTTTTTTTTTTCTTTTTTTAACAACTACACATATTTACACGTTTTAGATATTTAAATTTTGTGATGTGACTGAATGATTAAAATATGGTTGCTTGCATGTGTATTATTTCTTTAAATATTATATAATTAATAGTCAAAGTTTATAGGAAAGGAAAACAATGCGCCCCTGACAGTGCCCCCCCCCCCCCTACAAAAGTTTTTTTTTTTTAATTTTGATATTGTTTTTTTTTTCTTGTCTAAAAAAATTCTGGTAGGAATCCTCTGTGCTCTTCGGAGGTATAAAGAAACCAAAAAAAAAAAAAAAAACTGAATTTGTTTCCTCTGGAAAGTACCTGAGAAGGGTCCACATGTTTCCATTCCCGTGAAATATAGTTTTCACAATAATTTTGTTCCCTTTTAGTTTGGGTGTTTAGGTTTTTTTTTCTTCTTTTCTTTTTCTTTTGGCTTGTCAAAAAAAGGAGACAATTTTTTTCAGCAGGGTTGATCCACCCTGCCCCAGATAAATTCCTCGATCTGCCCTTATAAAGACTATATCGTTTCCCAAGATTTTTACAACATCGGATTTTATATCCATTATTACTCTTGATGCTTATACATGAGAGAGAGAGAGAGAGAGAGTATATTTGTATTGAAAATGCACAAACTATTTTTCCATAGTCTTGCGGTTAAGGTTTTAAGTAATCCCTAAACTATCTTTTAAGATTTTCTCAAAATACAAGAAATTGAATAGGTACCAAATTTTAGACTTCCTGCGGAAACTCTCCAATCTGGAAAGACTTTCTATACATGCATATAAAACAGGCACGTAGCACCGTTTCTCAAAATGTGTGTATGCGAGGCCGGGGGAGCGGGGGCAGTAAAATGACCGACAAGCAAAAGAAGAATTTTAGGCACTTAAAAATTGGGGAAGTGAAGAAGGAAAACAGCCATTTAAAAAAAAATCCATAGTCGGGGGGGGGGGGGGAGGGGGGGACAGATTCCATTCATACTATCATTTTCGGCAGAAAAAAAATTTGAGTACAGTGTACAATAATGTTGGATAAGAGTTGGGGTGGGGGAGGGAGGCAGCCAGTCTTAAAATAAAAAAAATCCCCGTCGAACGCATCGGTGGGGGATGCCCCCTTTTTCCGAGCAAAATGTTTTACTGTTTAGTATGAAATACACGCTCAAAAGCTGATCTCCTCCACTTTTTGTTGCACTATAGTCAAATCCTCGAAAAAGTGCCCCCACCCCATCCCCGCCACAAATTAGGATTTTGGAGATTCTTTTTATATTCTATTTTTTAATTTACTTTATTATTATTATTAGAATGTTTTATTAATTTTTTTTTTTTGCTTGTCAAAGATTTTTCAGGTAAAGTGTCAATTATTTCTTAGATGCTACATGCCTGAAAGACACTCTGAGAAACGGGAGTTCACCCCCCCCCCCCCCCCCCCCCCCGCTCCTCGTATATGTATACACGTATTTGTTAACTTGTGTTCTGGTTAAATGCTCTCATGCCGTGTTCTAAATCTTTTTTTCACACCAAATTACTCAGTTTAGCTTTTAGATAATCAGCAATCAGACCTTTTTTTTTAGGGATTTCTTATTTTTTACACAGTCGCGCAAATACTAATTCCCTTTTTCACTTTTGATATTTTCCCTGACCAAAATCTGATCAGCACGGACTAAGCGTATTCGAGTGCTAGGCTGTACGATAAAGTGACAACGTGTTTACTGTTGAGTATTTATGGAGTTTATTACTTTTTTGTGATGCATATTTCAATAAATGGAATACAAGGTGTAAATTATTCGGCATGAGCACATCTTCGAACGGGTACGGTGGTCTATTTCCAGGTATGAATAAGTTTACAGTGTTCGACGTGTTCTCTCGATATGTACCAATTGTATTTGAATGCATATGGACATGCATAGGAAATACGCTGGTGGAGTGGTGGTTTGTTCCATTCATACGATAAATTATTGCAAATTATTTGTACGAGTTTTACTGTGTATTATTTCAAGTTTATTGTGCATATATTGGTATGCTTTTAAAACACGCGTGCAGCTATGTTTTTTCTTCCAAACTTGCATTTATGTTATTCAAAACGATAATTATTCATAATTATCGTTATGACTGTTTTTATCTGTTCTGGTTTTAAAATGTTTTATCAATTCATGTGTTCCCAAATACTTTACTATCGGAGATGTGCACGCGTCGATAGCCAAACCAAAAATTCACTCAAGTGTAACGAGGGCACAGGAGTATATATCGTTACAATAAGACAAGGTATCTGAAAGAAATATGGCGGAATAGTTGGTATGAAACAAGTCGTACATTGATGCAAATGTTGCGTTCTTAAGAATTCATGTCAGCTTTAAATTTCAAATTGTTTTTACTGACATAAGTGGTCTTAACAATATAAATAATTAAGAAAGCCTTTAAAGGCCTTTTCTGTGTTTTTCTTTCCGTTTCATTTATGTTTTTCTGCATCATAGCATGAAATTATGACGTCATTTTTTCGTTTTGATGACCTTACATCTTCCGTATGGAACGCCCTTCTCTGCAAAATGGAAGGATTATCATTAGATCCAGTAATCTACGATATTATTCTGCCGCAACGCACTCTAGAAGAGAAAACTACAGACTTAAAGAACTACGATATACATGTATGTAGATAATATGAACACGTAGATAACCTGCAATGACAGCTTCAAAAATCGAGGTTGTTCCAAAAAAGAAAATGATATTCGAGTAATTTGGAGTAGTGAATTCCTTTGGAGAGAGAGAGAGAGAGAGAGAGAGAGAGAGAGAGAGCAGTGAATGGGTATGCTTTTCTCTTTGACAAAATAATTTGTTTTAGAAAATTTTCTTAAAAGAAACCTATTATAATTTATGATGAGGTACATCTATTTAAAACGTATACTTGATTACTTGTAGCCAATAGACGAACGTTCAGGATTGGTATTAAAAATTGGTAAAAAAAAAAAAAAAAAAAAAAAAAAAAAAAAAAAAAAAAAAAAAAAACCTTTGTCGTTATTGTAAATTAAAAAAAAAATAAATGGGAGTGTATGAAAAGATTTTTTAAATTTTAAAAAAATATAAGAGGTTGAGCTGAAAACTATACTTACTGTAGCAGGTGCGTGCACTGTCTTTGACCGATAAGATTGACAAGGCGGTCTTAGTTGTATGTAAAAATTACAATACTGTATCAATATATATATGTAGTTATTCGCATTACGAAAAAAACATGTTCATTAATCGACGAAATTTGTAACTAATTTAAGAAAAATATATTAAACTTCGAAGTTTTATTTTATCATAGAAATAATGTACGTGCCTGATCAAGATTACGAAAACTAACTTTCAATGCATATTACTTATAGGCCTACATATTAGAATTTTAAAATCCATCTATTTATTTCCAACGAGGTGGCAAAACAAAATAAAAACCCGAAGAGCAGAGATAAATTACATATGCCGCATGATGACATTTTTTCAGTTTTGAATTGTTAATTATATCTTACGAAAGCCCATTGAGCTCATTTTTTCGTAGGTTAAAAAAAGAAAATTCACATTATAACACATAACTTTCGCGAATAAACGCAAAACTTTCGCGTTATAACGCGACATTATTCATAAATAGTAATGTTACCTAGGAACTTGTGAGCTTGACTGACAGATAAGAAACATGAACGCAGACGGGGACTTCTATGAATTTATAAATGGCATTTCTTCAGAAGATGTAAAAGAGAATTGATGCGAGAAATAGATAGAATAGTGTTGAGAAATTTGAATTTAATCTTACAACCCTACTTATTAATAGGATTGATATTCCTTTAAAATTTTCTTGTTTTATTGAATCCAAGAAATTCTTTAGATTGATTTTTTTTTCAGAAAAGATCTCCACTTGTCATTTTCTTTTCAAGGCTTTTATTTAATCATTTTAAGTTCACTACAACTTTACCATTAATAAAGAAATCCATCATTTTGGATTATAAATTATACACTGTAGAAATCTGGCATAAAAGTATTTATATATACGTGTATATTAATTCGAATATTTATCATCCAATTTTCACATATTAGGTTACTCATGTGGTGTGAAACAATTGTTCTGTAAAATATACAAAGTTACCTCATTTTTGTCAATTTTCTGAGATCTTAATTTTATTTCAAATTCTAAAGAGAGTGTTAAAAATGACGCCTGAAAAGGGGGATCATTTTCCCGAAATTCCTAACAATAGAGTTTAACTTTGGAAAAAACTCGCATAGACTTTCTTGAGAAAGACAAAATTTGACGGCAAAAAAGATTTAGAAAAGGGAAAGACACATTCAATGGCGAGAAAATATAAAATTTCAGCTTGTGATAACCCTAGTTCAAAATAGTCTTTCATTTTTCATTATAATGAATAAACAAGATCATTACATTAAAAGAAAACGGAGACTTATGCATTAAAACGCGAAAGTTACGCGTTTATTCGCGAAAAAAATTTTAACCTACGAAAATGAGTTCAATAGGCTTTCGTAATATCTAAAAACAGCTAAGTGGAAAAAAAAAAACTTATTGAAAATCAACTAAATCCAATAACAGAACAACTCTGTACAATCGTAATGTATTGTTTTACTAACAACCAGCGATCATGTGCAGCAGTTTGCCAGATATCCTAGACAAGATAATGGACCCCGGCAGTTATGTTTACCGTGCAGTTAACCCCCTCTCACCCCCCCCCCCCCAAAAAAAAAGGTCCTTAATTAGCTATCAATATGATTATGCTCAATCTTTCCTCCCCGAGTGCCAAGTATAGGTCTAAAATTGCAGTCCTCCACCGGTGAGTGGTGCCTCAATATAAGTGAACATAACGTAACATTTCACCATTAAAATGTCAATTGAAAGGCTGGTTGGCCAGCCCACCTTTTGTGAAGCATATTTAAAGTTGAACACTACTCGTAAATAGGCATACGCCATTTTCGATATTTCTATCTTAGATATCAGCACCAGGGTATTCTCTTCACATTCGTTACACCTGACTGCTTTATTGTCACGGGTATTGGCGTGGAATGGCGACCCGTGTTCGTGCCGGTTATCTTGCATTCCCTTTGTTTACATTTTATTGCAGTTACGCATATTTGTGTTTGTTTGTATACTGCATTGACCTGTGCAACTGTTGTAATTGTCTTTGGTATCTTACTCTCCTGCATTAGAAGAAGCATACAGTTATTTTTGTCGCTTCCAAGTGCTGTATAGCATAAGTACGTCTACACCGGTGACGATTGATTACACTGAACAGTGACCAAATGAGCGGCTCTATATATAGGGGCCCTCAGATATAGCTCGAGTCCAATCGAATATGGCGGACACATTCTTTTTACGAAGCGTGTTCAGCTTTAAATAGCACTACTGGTAATTTGGTACGGAAGGGTATTAGTGCCATTTTGAAACTTTTTATTTTCTTAATTTTTACACTTTAATGTGTAAAATTCACACTTTAGTGTGTAAACTTTACACTTTAATCTGAAAAATTTAAACTTTAATGTGTAAATTTTACAACTTTACATATTAATCTGTAAAATTTACAGATTAAAGTGTAAAATTTACAGATTAATGTGTAAAATTTAAAGATTAAAGTGTAAAATTTACAGATTAAAGTGTGGAAAATGAAAAATAAAAATTGTCCAAGTGGCACTAATACGCTTCCGTAATTTGGCAATGTAAAGAAAAACTTGGTTATTAAGGGAAGTTGTATCCTACCCCCCCCCCCCCCCACCCCCTTCCTTCACAAAATAGGAATTTCGAATTAGGTCAATCTTTTGTTTTTATGCTCCCGTATCGATGATTCGGGGATATAAAGTTTTTGCTCTGTCGGTCCGTCTGTCTGTCTGTCTGTCTGTTTTTCTGTTTGTCCGCAAAAAACTTTAACCTTGTCCATAACTTTTGATTGGTTGGAGCTATGGCTTTCATATTTCACATGTGTATTCCTTGTGACAAGATCTTTCTCTGAGTACCACCATATTTGACCTTTTGACCTTGACCTTGGAATTTGACCCAGTTTTGCAAAAATTACCAAACTTTAACTTTGGCCATAACTTTTGAACAATTGGTACTAGGGCTTTCATACTTCACACGTGTAATTCTTGTGACAAGACCTTCCTTTGGATACCAACAACTTTGACCTTTTGACCTTGACCTAGGCGTTTGACTTACTTTTGAAAAAAACATTAACCTTGGGCATAACTTTTGAATGGTTAGTGCTAGGGCTTTCATTCTTCAAATGTGTAATCCTTGTGAAAAGACCTTTCATTGGATACCAACAACTTTTACCCTTTGACCTTGACCTTGGAGTTTGACCTTCTTTTGGAAAACTTAAATCTTGTCATAACTTTTGAACCATTGGTTCTTCGGCTTTCATATTTCACCTGTGTATTTCTTGGGAGAAGGCCTTTCCTTGGGCACCATTACTTTTGACCATTTGACCTTGACCTTGATGTTTGACATACTTTTGAAAAAAACTTTAACCTTTTCCATATCTAATCATTGGTTGCTGCTAGGGCTTTCATATTTCACAGGTTTAATCTTCGAAACAAGACCATACTTTGGGTACCAACATATTTGATTTGTATTTGAGAAAATTTAACCTTTGCTATAAATTGCCATACTTGGGGCATCACTGTTTCACAAACACATCTTGCTTTTTTGTTTGTTTGTTTGTGTGTGTGTGTGTGGTTTTTTTTTTAATTTTGTTTTTGCTTTTCCAGGTTTTTCAGAGAATTGGTAAGAAAAAATCCGCTTGCCCCCTTTCAAAAATGATACTACGTGCCCGTCAAAGATGCATATACTTTATACCACGGGAACTTACCAGTAATGACATATGCATGAGCTGATAGACAAATTTTTTTTCTTTTTTTTTTTTGGACCTTGTTTCTCTAATTCTAGCAATTTAAACGATACTTGAAATACTTAATATAATTTTTTTTTCAATTATTGTCTTTAGGCTTTAAAACATTTTTTTTTGTTTTGTTTTGTGTAGAATATTCCAATAGTATCAAACAGATGAATCAGCCGACTTACCCGAAATAGCTTGGATAGGAACTTCATTTTCATTTAAACCCCTTTCCTTGTATGCTGTTTTAACTTCTAAACAAGATAAATTAAACGCACAATTCTCAAGCAAAAACAAAATGAGAAATATACATAATGTTAACCAAAACTGAACGACCCCTTGTATTCGAATGTCGGCCATTTTCTGTGAATTTGAAATCACTATTCACTACCTGTTGAAATTTCGCTGATTGTTGAAACAAGATCGAGTCTGGGATCATTAACTATAAACCAAAAATCCAAAAATTTACTCTCCGAAACATTGATATCCTCTACATATTCCAAAGAATAAATATTCAACGAAAGAGGAAGGCTTTTCACTCCATCCGTCTATCAACCTTCAGGCATGTGTGTTTACACTCAAAGGAGGAAATTAGAACAGCCAACAGTATTTTCTGATTTCTGAATTTTGCATTTATCTCTTGGAAGAATAAATATCACTCAGGTCATTTTTTAATATCCTACATCTAATGACTTCACATAACTTCACATCTAACTTTTTTTTAATATAAGCTATTCATCAAGGAAATGTTTATAAACGGTTCTGTTTTCCAAGAGGGAGCTAAAGGCATGAAAAGGTCAATGAAATTAAAATAGTTTAATTGGAACCTGTGTACTAAAACTGAACAAAATGAAGTATAAACCCTTGTTACAGGACACCTTTTCTAAACTTCGCCAGAGCCTATTGATTATTTTTTTTTTATCACAATTTACTACATATTTAAGTAAAGCTTTCTAGTCTATAGGAAATGTTATTTGATACATTTTTTTTTAAATTTACAAAACTGTGACTAGTGGAAATTATACAATACAATAAACAAAAAATGCAATACAAATGAAATATATGGAAAAGAAATGAAAGCTTAAACAATACAAATGATTTTTTTTTTTACAATATAAATGAAAATTATGCAATACAAATGTAAACAATACAAGCATAAATTTTTGAATACAATTGGAAAAGATGGAACATTGCAACCCCTGACACGCCATTTCTTAGGGATAGAATACAAGTATATACAAATCATAAAAGACAAAGGAAAATCTTAAACTTAGATTAACATGTATTAGCGTAATCGTTTTTAAGTTTTATAGACGTCCAAATCTTCACCACAAGGAATATACATTTATGTAAATTATTTTCCATTTACAGTTACAATATTAAATGAACGTCATGAATGACATGATGCTGAACACAGATTAATTTATTGGTTACCTGTCTGCACAGTATGGTGGCATATTTCTGTCACTACTTGTTAGATCTTTATGTCGATTTCTCAGACCTTTATGTCAACTTTATAAAAAAAAATAGTCGACTTGTCAGATAATGATGTCAATTTGTCAGTTGATTTGTCAACTTGTCAGATAAATATGTTTTCCTGTTGTGCATTTATGAGGACTTGTCAGAAATTATTGTCAATTTGTCAGAAAATTATGTTGTCAACTGGGTGTCACAAACTGGGTATGGATACGATTCCATGTTGATGTTTTTACCACGTGAAAAAATGACAAATCGGCATAAAGGTCTGTCAAGTAAATATAATTATCTGAAAAGTCGACATTATGATCTGACAAGTCGACAAACTTATATGAGATGTGGTGTCAGATCTGCCACCATAGTACATAGCTAGATAGGACTTATACAGGCAATGCCTGCTGTTCAATCCTGTTATGGTTAATTCATTATAAAATATTTTTAAAAGGAAATCTCAAAGGACTAATCCAATATTTATTACAGCGATTGACAACAAAAATAATTCGTGAAAGTCAGACATTAAAAAACCCTTTGACTAACTATATACCAGTGTACATACTGTCATGACCATGACTGTGGGCTAATTTAGGACAAGGACAGTGTATATTTTAAGATTAAAAGGTTGTGCCGCCTTTTCCATAGTGATGTATGTAGAAATAAGAATTTTCAACCTTTGCATGTTAATACTATAGTTATGTGTGTCATGACCAGTTAAGTTATGCATCAAATTTTAAGGTCATTGTTGCCCTTAAAAACTGTTTATTTTATATCTCCAATTAATTAAATTAAAACACAAAGCAAAAGCAAACAAACAAAACAAAAAACAAAAATCAAACAAACAAACTTCAGCTCTTACACGAGAAAAGGACCAATCCTCCAGAATATTTCTAACATGGAAAAAGTGTTCTTTAACAGCATATTTCTCTAAAAAAATATCTTTGCAAGTACAAAAAAATACCAATCTGGTGTCGTTCACTTTTAACACTTGGGGATCACTTAACCTGTCGTCTGTCTGTCCGTCCGTCAGTCTGTCTGTCACACCTTACATATTGAGGACTTTTAAAGAAAGGGATTTGATATTTGGCTCATGTATTGGTTGGCAATAGAGTGACGTTTGTAAAATGACAGGCTTAATGACCTCGTGAACTGTGAAACTGACCTTTGAACTACTTTTCAAAATACACAATGTCGATGAACACATATTCTTTGACTTTTTACAGGAACGTATATGGTATTAAGCAAATGCACTGCTTGTCATAAGACATGTTGAAAAATACCAGTTTTACAATTTATCCGACCCTGACCCTTCGGTCTATTTTCAAAAATACTCTGAATCGTTGTTATGTGTTGTAAATTTGAGAAGCATGGCTTTGTAAATTATCATTTATAAAAATGTGTATAAACTACTGACATTTTTTTTTCAAACGTATTCATGACTTTAGCCGAACAATCTTTTTTTTTCCTCAATTTTATTACAGCTCATCAGTACAAGTATATATACAAATATACATGTACAAGTGGGTTTAGAATAGAAAGTAATACATGCAACAGTGCAATTTTAAATTACATATAATGATGTAGATCACATTAAATGGTTTTAAAAAATAACCTTATTAAAAATTGATATACAATTATGAATATTTATTATTTACCACATAAATAATTTAAATCAATATCATCCTATAATTAATTATCATCAATTATACAATTAATAATGTAAGTAACTTCATAATTTTCAACACATCTAGTTTTTGTTGTCTGAAACCGCAGTACGGAAACAAATTCAAAATAGTTTTATCCATAATAAAAGGAAGGTTGAGGGTGGAGGTGGGTTAAAATCGCTTAAAAATTTCCAGTGTGTTAAATCGACGGCGTCCTGGAAGAAAGTGAGGAACCACGCTACATCTAAAGAGACGCACCGACAGTTTCCCGCGAAACGATTCCATTGGTTTTTCCTTGCGACATTTGGTTAACTGACCACATAAGAAGATGCTGTTTAACGTATGCCGGCGTATATTGCAAGAGTGATTACTCCAGCAAATGTTACAGAAATACATTATCAATATACATGAAGTATTTTAAGAAATCTTAAAATTCTTTTTACGATCCTGTCTTGTTGGAAGGTTCATGGTGTGTTCGGTTTTTTTGGGGGGCTGTCTGGTGTGAAAACATTTCATATCTGAACATTGTAATTGGCTTCCTAAAAAATTGTTTCTCATGTTTACGTACATAAATGTCTTATAACATAACTTGTTTTGCTACACCGGGAATATCAGAAAATAACTAAAGGAGGGGCTGCGTTTGTGATTCGAAATAACATTATTATTATTTTTTTTTTATTATTTATTTATTTATTTTTTTTTTTTTTGTAAAAAGAGGCCTCAGAAAATGAAAGATTAATGGAAATTGAAATTAATTATGGCTTATTTTAATTGCTTATTATAGGATGCCCCCTTCCTTCAGCAAAATTTTATTAACAGGAATACAAAAGTGTGATGCAAGACGTATTTTACTTGTTTGATGCACTTCGTGAAACTGTCCTGTGATTTTATATGGTGATTTTAATACAGATGTTGAAAACAAATATAGCAAACCAAAATCAAAACTCCTTGCGACAAAAACACAGGGCTGAAACCTTTGTAGTATATTTTCGACTGAAAAACAATATACGTTCCAACCTAAAGATAAAAACTTCAGTCGCTTTTTGACTACATCTTTGTTCCTGAATGGCTTTCTCAAGAAATATAAGGAAACATATCAAAACGTTGCCTTTGAAGTTTCAGGCCACTTCCTTCGGTCTTCACGGAAGACCTTATAGTGATTCTACTGTTTCTCCTTCTTCTTCTTCTTATTTTTTCCGCCCATCTAATTTTGTGCACGCGATTTCTCACAGACTACTTGATGGAATTTACTGAAATTTGCAGGAACAATGTGTTGTAAACTGAAGTTATATTATCCGAGAGATTTTTTGGAAAATCAATTCCGGTGCCAAGTTACCGACCATTTTCTGATTTTGTCCGCAGAAAATCTCAAGAACGGTAAAAGATATCAATGTGAAACTTTCAAGATTATAGATCGTGATAAATCCTAGCCGGGACATGACCTTTTGTTCGTCGTCGGTACTTCCGGTCGTTACCGGATGCGAATTTAAAAAGTTGAATTTTCTAACTTCTTTTTGTTTTTCAATATCTTTTTTTGATATTAGTAGGGTTAATAGATGCATTTCCAAAAAGGCTTAATATATATTTTTTTCTTTTTAAAAATTGATAGATCCAAACTCTAGATATTGGCATTTTAAAATTTGAAGCGGGTCCAAAATGGCGACTGTCTCCGTAAACTCCGACGAGCAGGTCAGCACTCGGAGCTCCTCGGGTGGCTGGTACCTCGCACACTAACCTACAACGTCAACGGTGTTCTTTTATTTCGGGTTTAATCCCTATTATGTCTGAATTTTCTTTCTCATTTTTTACTTTTAATTTACGTTTTCATCTTTATGCTAGTAAATGATGTTTTTTTTTCTGTGTGAATCCTGCGCTATTTTCATTTGATTTAAATAAATCCTTAAAAATCCCTGCATTTTTGAAGGACCCATGTTATATTTTGCGGACATTGGCAAGTCAAAGATTTCCTGAGAAAAAAAGGTTATATACATGGGTTTTTTCACTTATGAAATAGTGATTGAGAGTGATCTCCCGTGTAGAATTCTCTAAGCGGTGAAAACCAACAAAGCATATGTTTACAGAGGTAAACAAAAAGCACGTGTACTTCCTTTAACGGATAGAATCATCTATACAGCAAGAAAGAAAAGTAGTAATGGCTTTGTTGTACATTGTATTCAGGAGACAAAGAGCCAACAGGTCGTCATTTACCATAGTTATGCTCAGTAT